GCTCACGGAAAAGCAAACAAGTGGAAAGTAACCAGATGAGTTTGTAATCCACGCTGGCTTTTCCGTGTGTGCCCGCTCGCACGGACGCAAGCCGCCAGCGAGCAGCCAGCGCAATACCCGAACTGACCACCGAGCGGCGTTTTGCTCCAGACTCCGTGTCATTTGCAAGGCTCTGAGCATGTGATGGGGGCCACAGCAGAACTGGCTCGAATCCACTCGCCTGTGAATGTCAGCTGCCTGTCAATGGGCTATTTTTAATGCTGTTCATCTCAGTCACTATTCCTGTCCCCATTTGGAAAGCCCTCATTAACACGTAGGCATGATCCCGGGCCTGTTGTGTACACATCGCCCCCCACTCCCCACCCCTCACATGCTGACTGGCCAATCAGGCGGCCTGCTTGGGTCGTCCAGGTCATCCAGAGAAAGTCAAAAAACATGAATTTGTTTCTATGCATGAGTTGCATTCTATGCATGAAGTTTAAATAGAATTAATTAATGGGAATGCAGTGGAAACAGACACCTACACATATCCCCATTATTGTTTAATTACATTTTCTTTAATTTCTGAATTGAACGAGGCCCTCGTCTGCTGATGGCAGTCAACCAGGGGCAGTTCTTGGGGGGGGGGGGGGGGAGAACAGTGCATGGCCCCCTTGTGGCCACACTAAATAGGTATGCTACTTGGGTCTCAAAATAAATGTATTACTATTATTACTATTATTATTATTTGCATTTATATATATGGGCTAACATTTTGTGCGCTGGGAACAGGCGAAACACAAACGTGAGCACATTTTCTTGACAGACTGGAGTTCCGGGGGGTCGAGTCGCTTCAGTTGGTGAAAAGCGAAGTTAACGACAGAAAAAATAATCAAGCCCGTGGAAGCAAGGCAGTGTAAACAAGAAATCGGAGTGAGTTACATATTTGCACAAACTGTAAAATGTGACTGCAAAGCATTGCATAAATAACTTATCAGTTTTCAAAATTCTTTTGCTTCTTAATGCTGGCAGTCCAGTGTAAGTAATACTTGGAGGACATTAAGGTCAAATGCATCTGGCCCCCCTAACAGAACAACTGGCCCCATTCTACCCCCCAGTTGAAACGTTCTAGAACCACCACTGCAGTCATCAGGGAAAAGTGATTGGCCAATAATATAAAATCACATTTATTTGTGCACGGATTAGCTAAGAGATGCTTTGATGGATAAAGTACAGCTTCTGTAGGCACAAATCTAACAGGTCATGTAAATGTAGCCATTAACAGTGTTAATGTTAACCGGTTCCCTACTGTTAACAGCCAACACACTGTGATAATTTAACAGCTTACACACGGTAACAATGTAAGCCCAGTCAATGTTAACATTAACCAGTGTAGATAGTGATAACAGCACACAGTCCTAATTTAAGCCTAGTCACCTTTTTAGTTTAAGTGTAATCATAGTACTAATGTCAGCCAGTTAAGAGACAGGCCAGACAAGGACCATTATCACGCAGTGATGTATTCAGCCCTGAAAGACTAACCTTCCTGATGGAGCACATGAAGAACAAGGCTGTGTTTCGAACCTAAGCGTCATTCCCCTGATGGATGGATGTCAGCACACTTAGGGTGACATATTTCATAGCGACTGAGCCTGGGCACCCGACAATCTGCAGGACCGACGCTGTGACCTCTTCTCTGTCTCCCTCTGGTCACCTCATAAACATTAACATGGTGACAGCTGCCTTTATCTCAGGGCCTGCGCTTATAGAGCGAGAAGTGTCGATGCTACACTGAAGCTGTGTTTTTCTGCAATGCCTGACTCTGACCGCAGCCTCATCCGGCCTTTGGAGGACGTCCAGACATGCCTGCACACAGCCTCCACCAATCCCTGACCTTTAACTGTCACTCGGGGATGAGCGGTTCATTAAAAACAAACCTTTCTCAGGCTGATAACCTTCCAGAGTCCCAGCTGGAATCCACTCCAAGTTGCGTGCTTGAAGTATATTTTTTGGGGTGGGAAGGTCCCATTTAATTGACACTTGGCAATATTTGGGTTTGCTGGAGGCCGAGAAGAGTTTAGAACGGGAGAAAAACTAAAGATTGGTAAAGGAAGAAGGTCCCCTTTAGGATTTATACAGTTAGGACAAGATAGATCCAGTACGTGTCATCATACACACCTTCTTCTCAGGTGCCTGTGAGGTTCCTCTGGGGTGAATCCGTGATTCGTAAAGCCAGTACAAGGTTACTTATACTGACCATGAACACATGGCTCTTGGGAGTTTTACTTCTTTGCATGTTCTAAGGGCAGAAGGAAAAATGATTGGTTAAGAGAGATAACCAATCAGATTGTACAGGAGGTGGGTCCAAGCAACTAGAGGAGGCTGGTCCAAGACATCTGATTGGTTGGTCCCGCCTCCCGTAGTTGCTTGGACTCATCACCCCTCTGAACCGATCGCTGCTCTCAGAACATTTGTGTGTAAGTAAAATTCCCATGAGCGGACACATGGCCCAGCGACATATAACACACCACACGTCCCTCATTACTGCATATACAGTGTCTCAGGACCTTCAAGAAGATGTCAGCCTGAGGAGCATTTGTAGGGTCTTGGAGGACGAAGCGGGGACGTGTGGTCCTGACATGCGTGTGACGGCTGACTGTGAGGCCCAGCTCTTGTCTCATCTCTTCTGATAAAAACACCGAGTGCAGAGAAACTTTAGCAATTCCTCAGATGTCTTGCATCAGAGAACGCTCCGTTATTATTGAATTCCCTACCGGTCCCGCGTTCTACGCAAGGCTTTCAGCACGTTTAACTGAAAGTCCCCCGGCACCCAGCTCTCGTACATCAGCCTGACCGTGGCAGACGTTTGGTGTGGAAAACTCTGGGCGACAGTGAGACACCACCCTGCTGATACAGTTATGGCTGGCACTGCTGATGCTGTAGTAATAGAGCTGCAGTTGGAACTGATCAGAAATTCACATTAGAAATACAGGCAGGGTGTCTCCTGTTGAATGCAGTCAAAGTAAGAGGAAACCCGAGCCGTAACTCTCAGATTATTACAGTAATGCGGCCCGGGACTCTTTGACTATCCACACAAGCGTTCCTGGATTCCGCTAGAGAAGACACGTGCGAGACAGCAATCCCAGTCTCTGTACTGGCCCCTTTCCATCAGCTTTCAGGTTAATTTAAAGCTGAATATAAAATGATTCCCGCCGGCGCTGGTTATTATACCAAGAGACACGAAGGACGAGAAGATGAGGAGGGCAGTAGATTCAGGAACAATCTCGAGCTGTATCTGCGCACGTCGGCCCGGAGCTGTACCATGAGTCAGGCATATAAATACACACACTTATAAGACAAGCTAGACACACACTTTTCAAAATAACTCCCACCCACTACATTTTTTTAAAATCTGTATTTACTAAGCCCTGCAATCGCCCACAGCAGGAACTGTGCTATAGTTATGATTCGAGTGAAATGGGGGGTGTCCAGCCGATAACCGAATTTCCATGCGGTCCTGCCAAGCTCAGGCTGGCTGATACATATTAAGTACTGGACAGACTCAGATACCTGCTCTGGTGTCCATCGGCGGTATGGATGAAGTTCGGTGTCTGTGGATAAACTAGGCTTGGGTAGCATCTCATTTTTTAGAATGTCACCCCATGCAGACATTATACCTCAGTTCGCACAAAAGTACCGGCAACAGTATTTTCAAAAGTGCCGCTGTTCTGGTATTGCTGTTAAATGCAGTCCAGCGGGGGTGGGGGGGATCAGTAATAAAATTCACTGAGCAAAGGGGACAATTTCATTGTGCTGCCTTTCTCTAGTCATTTTGTTGCCAAGATTTCAAAGTACAGTGGTATACCCAATTATATTAGCATAGGCTGGGCGATAGGCTGTTCAGAACCTAGTTATAAAGCGATATGGGGTCATTCCCGATCATTGCCTCACTCTGGTTCATTTCAGAATATTTAATGCCCTACCCAATGTACGTCTCTATCCAGCCATGCACCAAACGCTACTGAGCACAGCAGGACATGATGGGTATGTTCATTGGGCCTGTGTATGTGGCAGCAGTCGGGTTCTCAGCTGTGGATTTGCATCAGAGGAACTATCATTTGGGGGTGGTCTGGGGGGTTGACAATCTGGCAGGGGGAGGAGGCTCTGTTTTGCAAAAACACTTGTTGTCATATCCAAAATGTCCTCAAATATTTGCCATATTGTTCACTGCCTGGCAATAACCGCATTAAATGTTCATGGGAGACCTGCATGAGTTCTCTAACTCAAACTGCAAGTCATGTTCCCTGAATTCAGTGTCTCACACTGCTTACTATGGTATACCACAGTCCACCTCATCATATCTACTAAACCTCATTATAATTTCATCTGCCATTAGTAAAATGACCCATACACACTTTATAAGGTGACCCCCTCTGTCTCCACTACATCATTCCTCACCTCCAACAGTATAACGATGAAGAATTACTTCCTAACCTTCTCCCAGGTGCTCTAAGTGTCCATGGCTCTGATCGTCTGCCTGGGAATGCATGAGAGTTAAAGTTAAAGGTTGGGAGCAGTTTATCTGTGTGTGTGTGTGTGTGTGGTCGGTCTCATCTGTGGCTCTCGTGGGCTCGGAACCCACCCCCCCCCCACCCCAGCAGTAGTCCTTCCAGTCACAGTCTTTTCTCGACATTCTGGGTGACAATGCAAGGCCATTTTCCTGTGCGGCACGATTACTCAGCGCATCACTGTGCATTTGTGCGTCAGAGGCACTCAACATGACTAAGCATCAGAGTGTGTCATCGCCACCATGTGTCCTTGTGGGTGTTTGTGAGTATTTACGGGTTTCAGACTTATCTCTAGATGCCCCGGCAACTCTGACTAGGGATAAGTTGTTACAAGATGGATGGATGGATGGACAGATCTCTGGACATCAGGAAACACTGTAATACATTTATATTTCACACATTTAACAGAACCTTTTGTCCAAAGCGATGTACACGAGAGAAGCATTGAAGCAGTAACGGGAAAACCTTTTAAACTGTTATTTACTGTACAGCATTTTCACACCAAGTATTTTTACTAGGGTAACCAGATGTCCTGGTTTGACCAGAATGGTGCCAATTTCAGGCTATGCGTCTGGGTGTCTGAGAAATAGCTGAAATATTACAATTTGTCTTGTTTAGAAGCGTTGCATGTCTAAAACATTTTAATGAGCAGCACGCATAACCACACACCTGGCCCAGTTTAGCACTGCTCACCCAATGATGTCTGATAGTGGACCGTACCGGAACTGAGTCCTGTTCTGAGGAGTTTCACCTGTAACTTTATGGTTATTCGAGTTCCAGCTGCTCGTGTTCAGATTGATCCATCAATGTCACAGAGATATCTGCAGCTGCTTTCCGGAAAGATTCACGTTCCCAGAGAAGCCTACACATTCACACCAGCCGCAGGAGAGGATTACGCTGATCATTCATGCCTTGAACCCAAAGCAGAGGAAGTTGCGTTGAGGCTGTAGGATGCACTGCTCTAACATGCATGGCCTAATTTTCTCGTTTGTCATATTTCTTATGCTCTGTGACAGTGCTGGGCATACCCTTCCGTTCTGGTCCTCAGCCTGTTGCTGTGGAGGCATGTCTGATGGGTTCTGGCTGATAGACAGGCCTTGACCTCTGCTCACCCCCTGCTAACGCTGACAAAGTCATGGGAAAGAGTAGGTCTAATGTAGCAATGGTGAAACCTTGACACTGCTCAAGGCCACTGCTGAAATGTTCCCATTCCTAAACGAATACATAATATTAAATACACGCAGCATTTATTCTCATTTACGTCGACGTAAAGCATGATGCATCATAAGTGTAGAATGTGCGCTTTATTTATGCACGTGACGCTTACAAAACTGTGAATTTGCGGTATTTACTGCCATCTAGTGGTGAAGTTGTAAAATGACGAAACTGGGTGCTCTCCATTTCAAACTTAACTCGGCGAAGCAGCAAACGATTTAAAACCTGCGCCAAGAAGTATAATTAAGTTTAAGGATCCATAAAAGCGTTTAAACTCGTGAATTATGCTCACACACAAATCCTAGCCAGGCCTGGTGTCACAGAAATAAAATGTGGTTAAAATGTATTTTATGATTCCATACAATATAACGTCCTCACCTGCTCAGCAGTAAGGCGGCTGCGGGGAATGACTGGAGAATCCCGTTCAAAGGTTGGCGCTCTGCGCGCTGCCGCTCCGCGCAAACACGCGCACAGCCCGCGCACTGTCACCGGAAGTGGTTGAGAAGTAGGAAGTGGAAGATGGAGGCCGCCGTGTTCATCTTCTCCCTGATAGACTGCTGCGCTTTGATTTTTCTCTCCGTCTACTTCGAATCCTTTTACGGGTGTCTGTTAAATTAAACATTGGGTATGTCCTTGCAACTAATGCGGTCTCCGGTTTTGAGAGATCCAATACACTTAGTAGAGCTGGAAATGGATCTGGGTAACTAGCTGTCACGTTAGTTAAATGGAGTCTCAATGTCTCTACCTTTTCTTGGATTTTTACTGTTGGGTTTGTTGTTGTCTAGCTATTGATCGTCAATCGTGGCGTATTTAATCATCTTAATGGTACTAGGTAAAGGTTGCAAGTTGAACGCGATTCTTAGGATCCTCGTGGATGTCTATAATTGTGTTGTCTGTGTGCTTTAGTACCTTCCAAAATCTTTAACCACCGTTTCAGATCATCACTCTGTCTGATCTAGAGTGTGATTATATCAATGCGCGGGCCTGCTGCTCCAAGTTAAACAAAGTAAGTGCCAGTCTCACCGCCTTTGCACAATCTGTGCACTCTGTCCCTGTGCTGTGTTGTCCTGGCCCTTTTCTCCGTTCTTCCCCTGTTCTCTCTGCTTGACTGTCCACATGTAGTGGGTACTGCCAGAGTTGGTGTGCCAGGGCCTGGCTACAGTCCTCATGCTGGTCTCCATGCACTGGTTCATTTTTCTCCTCAACCTGCCTGTGGCATCCTGGAACCTATACCGGTGAGTGTCCCTGGAAAAATCCATCCCAGTTACATCTGTATTTCCAGGGATCCCACTACCTGTTACATTCATAGTCATACTCTCTATATTGGCATATTCATTAATAATTGAATTTATGATGATCATATTCCACTTGTGATTGGCATCTCATTGGTGTTATGCTTGTCAGTCGCTGTACATTGTACAAGTATTTATTTTCTGGGATTGTTCTTTGTTGGCGCTGTGTCTGACACCATCCATTATGGTTCTGATGGGGCTCATCATGTTGACATGCTGGTGCTGTTTCATCTGAATTGTTACATGATCTTTTGTTTAAATAATAAATTAACTCTTTGACCTAGTGAGCCTAGTGACCTAGTGAAATAAGTTTGTATAATTGTTAAAACATTGTAGCAGCGGTGCTAAGTGGCAGCAAAGGATGGAAACAGCACCTGATCTAATGAACACAGTAACTCAAAAAGTATTTGATGGATTTTTTTCAAACTTCCCAGGAACATTTAATAGGTGATGATCTTGGGGCAAATTGCACCAAAATTGAAGCAGTGGCACATGAAGGGACAGTCACAGGTGCAGATCTGATTACGTTGAGACAAGTCACACAAAGTTGGGCTTTTACTAATGATGTTTTGAGGAAGTGAGGATAGTGTGTAGGGGGCTTAGAGATAGTGGAGGTTGGGGGTGTGGGGGTAGTTGGGATTAGATGGAGGTGAGGCAGTAATGGGGCCAACAACATCTTGTTATAAAGCTTTTCAAAGTTTAAATTCATGAGTTTTTTTTTCCCGCGTTGAAGCAGAAAAGATGCATGTCCTGGTTGTCCTTATTTAATGCATCCGCGCATCTGTGTGTGTGTGTGTGGACATGTGTGATTATGAGGGGGGTATGTGTGTCTGTTGTTAACATACATGCTCAGGCTGCCATGTGCTTTGAAGGTACCTCAAGGTCCCCATGGGTAACATGGGCGTGTTTGACCCCACTGAGATCCACAACCGGGGACAGCTAAAGTCCCACATGAAGGAGGCCATGATCAAGCTAGGCTTCCACCTGCTCTGCTTCTTCATCTACCTGTACAGGTGAGATGCTACACACACACACACACGTGCACACACATGCCTGTAGCTGTACTTGTGTGATTGTGGTCACCTGCCGTCACATAAATTGTCTCTGTTTTATCTGTGAAAATAAACTGTCCTTTTCAGCATACTGACTGGTCCTGATTTTATGCTGGTAATAGTACTGTAATGTGAATACCGTTTAGGTCGTTCTCTCTCCCACTTGTATGACTTCCTGTACTGGTATTGTCTGTTTCTCCTAATAACTGTCATTATTATGCAGTAAGTCAGGAGTGACTTGTGAGGCAGGCTGTTGGGCCAGTATGACCAGTCTAATCGCTCTGTCCCTCCACCCCAGGCGTGCCTCACATGTGTTTACATGCATTCATGCAGAATGTTGGAATCTCAGGCTCCAAATGAGCCAGTGCGTGGCTGGAGAGAGCCAGTATAGGTGTATAACAATTAGCAACCAGTACTCATCAGACAGTTTCTCAGTGACACTGCAGACCGTGTGTGAGATGGGGTGTGTCACGTGGTGCTTGGGGGGGATGGTGTGTGGCTTAGCACGTTAGAACACTACCTCTGATCAGAAGGTCATTGGTTCAATTCCCACTGTTGGCAGAGTGATTTTATTGTTGGTCCCTTTTAATCCCCAATTGCCTCAGGGACTGTCTGACCTTGCTTTCTCTAAAAAATACGTACTTCACTTTGGATAAAAGCACCTGCTATATAAATAAACACAATGAACATGTTTTTTGCAAATATTCTGGTAAAATGAGCTCATAGTTGTGGTCCTCAGATTTGTTGAGTAGGAAGAACCTTTGAAGCTGTTTGCTGGCATCTCCATCCATTTTAGTCAACAGAAAGCAGATGTAAAGTGTCATGACAGCCAGTGAGGGCTGACCAGTCTAAAGCTGCATCTGAAGCTAAATCTGGGCCCAGGCCGTGGGTCCGAAGCTAAATCTGGGCCCAGGCCGTGGGTCCGAAGCTGAATTTGGGGTCAGGCCGTGGGTCTGAAGCTGAATTTGGGGTCAGGCCGTGGGTCTGAAGCTGAATTTGGGGTCAGGCC